TTTTAATGATTATCTTCTATTATGGAAAATGTTCTTTCTAATGAAAAAAATAACTTAATAAGTTAAAACTAGTACCATAACTAATCTTATATTTTAATATACTTCAAAACTACTTGGATTATAGAATAATTAATACTATTTCAGTAAACAAACAAATAGATTTGTATAAGTGAAATAAATTAGACGAAAATAAAATGAATAAGTTAAAGAATCTTTATGAATAAAAGTTTATAAACAACACTATTTTATATAAATTTGAAAATTAAAATAGAATTAATCATTTAATAAATTACTTTTTTCTATGATGATAAAAATTTATAAAAATAAAAATATAATATTATAATTAATAGTTTACAATCACTTTTTAGATATTATTTTTTATTTTAAAATAGAAAGATTAAAAAAGAATATATTTTAATTGATAAAAATAGACTATTTAGAAGGTCTGATACTATTTTTAATTTATGAAGAGAAGAAGATGAATTAAGATTTCAAATAAGAATACTCAGAGAAAAAATTTGAGAGAGAAAGAATTATAAAATACTTTCTAAAAGGATTAAAATATAATTATTTTTTTATTTTTTTAACGCTAGCAAGTAACCAACAATTAAACGAATAAAGAGTAATTCAAATTATTGAATATTAATCAAAACAGGAATTGTACTAGGGGTAATATAATAGTAAAAAGAAGATAAAAAAAGGAACTAGACTAAGAGTTAACAGTTTTAAAGCAAATACGGTTTATTTAAACCTATTTTAATCTTAAAACCTATTTGTTGTTTTAGTTGAATTTATGTCTTCATCTTCATCTTCTTTCAAAGAAGAAATTCCAGAAACTCCAAGATATATTGTTAATAAGAGAAAGCTTCAAAACTACGAAACTATGCAACATGCTATATTAATTTCATTACTAAGCCCTTTTTGTGGTTTTTCAATTAAGAAACCAAGAAAACAAACATTAGTGAGACATTGTATGCCACGATTAAAAAGTCTTCTTTTTGAGAATGAAGAAATTGAAGTCATTAAACTTGCTGATACTCTTTGTAGACCAATTTTTGAAAATGAGATTGAAAAAGGAATGAATAAACAAACAGCTTTTAGAAGATTTGAAAAAAACAAAAGAATATTTGTTATTAACTTACTTTATGACTTATGTTTAGAAAAAGGATATTTCTTTGATGCTAGACAATCAAGAAAGACAGAAAAAACTATTAGATTAGATAGGATTAAAAGAATCTTTTTCAAAGGAACATATTTAATGGATTTTGATGAATTAATGGAACAAGGTGAACTTATTAATAATTATCTTAATAGAATTATTTCAGACAAAAGAGGAGTTATTGCTCGTGCTGATAAAAAACTTATGAATTTCACTTCCTTTAATTTTAAAAAGCTTACTACTTGTTAAGACAAGTAACTTTTGTAATTACAACTCCTGTTAATTATTATTTATATTTCAATTAAAAAAAAAAATAAAATGAGGAATTTAAAATAATAATATGTTTAAATTAAATAAAAGGAAAATAAGAGAGTTTCTTTAATTAAAATCTAAATATTTACATGTTTACATGAAAACAAAAAGAAGAATACTCATAAAGACTATTATTCTTTTTGATGATGATGTCCTTTTATTTAAATTAGGTTTTATTACACAAACACTTCCTTTTGAACAAACATAACCTGTATTACATTTACCACAAGGAGGATGACAACCTTCTTTCCATAAATGAGTAATATTTGATTCAATAACTGAATTAGAACCATCACATTCAGCATAATCACAATCATATGAATCAATTGAACATTGTTTAAAAACAATTTCTTGTCTTGGAATAAGATAAGTATCATAAATAGTTAATGACTCTCCTTTATTTATATTAAATTTAAGACTAATAAAATTAACTATATTTATAAATAATTTATTATATTTTTAAATAAATAAATAATAAAACAAACTGTATTGTTCACATCGTTTATTTAATGCAAATAAATATGTTTTATAATAAAACATTTCAGTATAATTTTCAAATTTTTTAAATACAGTTTGTTGACAATATTCATCTAAAAAAGAAATTATTTGATTTGATACATTCATATTTAATAATTTAATAGAATCAAGTGTTATATTTGATTTAGTTTTAATATTTAAAATAAATGATCTAAAGTGATATGTAATTTTAAAAGAAGTAGGATATTTAATACCAATAATAAGTTCATTTGAATCATCAGTTGAAGTAATTTCAATTGTATTATTTATTGTTTTTATTAATGGAATATTTAAAGAATTATTAATTTGATAAAAACTCCAAGTAAAATAATTATCTTCATATTTGTCTTGAGTTAAAACAAATTGGTTTGGAACATAATCACATTTTTCAGTACTATATTTTCTTGGATATGTAGTTGAAGATGAATATATTTTTCCTTTTTCAATATTTTTAATAAAAATATTTAAAACATATTTTCCAGTTGAAATTAATCGAATTTCTGTTGAAGAATTAATAGAAAAATAAGTTTTTGGAATATGAAAATAATTATCATTATTAGAGAATGTAAATAATGAATTTCCAATTTGTATATATTTTGTTAAAAGATTAGAATTAAATGGTTGAAGAATATATTCAGAAAAGGTTTCATCAATAACAGCTATTTTTGGTTGAACACTGAATGGACAATCAACTAACCTAATTGATATTTGTGATGCGAGTTTTGATGCATCTTGATTTTCTGTAACTAAATAATTAAATGTATCTGAATTTACTATAATACTTCTTGCTGCACTACTTTTTGATATAACCGTTAAATTGGCCCAATATGAACCTGCAATCATACATGTAAATGGTTTTAATGATGGACCAAATAATTCAAAACATTGTCCACATCGTGATATATTAGTATCACTAAAATGATTCTTCATAAAGTCTTCATGAACATAACACTCTGCTCCAATAGAATGTCCTGAAATAATTTTTTTATAATTTGGAATTTTAGAAAAACATTCTTCATTCATTTTTGAATTTAACCCAAAAATCCCTTTCTTTCCAATATTGTCAATTGATCCAATTCTGTATGTGGTCTTTAACATTATTCTCTTTTTCCCCTTTCTATTTTTTACTTTGATAAAATAAAACAAACCATACATGGTGTGTAAAATGTTTGTACTGACTGAACTAAAACAATAAAGAAAATCCACAACATTTTATTGAATCTTTAACTATAACCTCTCAGTTCTCAATTTTTAAAAAAAAAAAAGAAACAATGTTTAATAGTCTTTTCTTTGAGAACTTTAAATTTTTCATTTATTATTTTATTATAAATCTTAAATTATCTTTTAAAAATGAATTTATTTTTCCCTTTTTAAAAAATAGAAAAACCTTTTAAATATCCTATTTTTAATCTTCTTAAAAAACATAAAAATAAAGGATTTACAAATTTTTGTTATTTAAAAAATAATAAAACAAAAATAATAAAAAACACTTTTTTTAAAAGAAACTTAAAATAAAAATAAAAATAAACAGTAAAAATAAACTAATCAAAAATGTACAATAATTTGATTCAAATCTTCTGTTGAGATTTAAAATGAAGATGAGATTGTTAAAGGAATCTGAGAAGAATGAGAATTGATTGAGGAAGACATTATTGATTGCACAAGTAACGATTGAATAGACTTATCTTCTTTTTTTAAAATTAGTTGTTTCTTATTTGAAAGAAGAGAAAGAAGATATAAGTTAATTTGTCTACCAAATGACATAATATTTTCTTTTGGAATAACGTCTTTTTCATTTAAATAAATTTTATCTATTCTTTCAATTTGAACTGATTTATTAGATTGTTTCGATAATTTTGAAATGAAATTAACACCAAGTTCATAACAAATATCATAAACTAGATTCATAATTGTAGCTGAAATATTCTTTTTATATCTTCTATTAACTGTTTTAAATGGTAATCCATTCTGAGTCTCTTCTTTTTTAATTAAACTACATTGATATTCAGCTAAGTCTTTAATATTTAAAATCGTTTTATCAATAATAATTGAAAATACAAAAGGAATAGTAGTTGTCATCTTTGATTGTTTCCCAGGTTTTTCTAAAACAATTGAAGCAAATTGATTTAATACACCAATTAATAAACAGTGTTGAAAAGCTAATTGATTCTTAAATTCTCTTTCTTTTCTAGCATTAATAGAATTTCCTCTTTTACATCCACTCTCAGTTGAATTAGATGTTACTTGGTTTACTTGTTCCATAATAGTCTTCTTTAATTAGTAATTTTAAAGATGAGGTAAGTTGGATTAGTTTCAAATGAAACTAATGTAACACCCTTATTGTGTTTTATTCCAAATTGATTTTTTCTGAAAAAGATATTCGATTCAAAGCTATTTATATACCACTCTTTTAACCAACATACTATCAACTTCTATTTTAATTCTATCCAACCAAAACAATGTTTTATTTAAAAAAAAAAACAAGAAGTTTTATAAAAATATTTTCGACGATAATTGAAAAGAAGGAAACAAAAATTTAATTGAGAATTTTTAACGACTTCTTATTATATTTTAAATTTTTTATTATCCTTAAAAGAAATATTCACAAAAATAAATCTATTAATAACTTAGTTAATTTTATTTTCATTTTCAATCCATAGAAATATAAACACATTTATAATAAAATTTTGTTTTTATAGTTTCCTAGTCAAAAAACGCATAAATGTTTTTGAAAAATTATTAGTTCTGATTCTTTAAAAAATTTCATAATCATTAAATTCATAACTTATATATATAGTTAATATAGGACTAGTGTTTATTTAAATAAGATAAATTCTAAGAAGTCAAGTCCATTTGTTTTGTGTATAAAAAAGTTAATTAATAAATACTCTTTAAATTAATAAGTAAGTAGTATTAAAAATTTATTTAATGTTATAGTCATTCTTCCTTAAAAGTTCATTTTAAAATAATTATGTTAGTGGTTGTTCAAGTTTTATACTTTCTTCTAAAAAAGTAAAACTAAAAAATAAAAAATAAAAACTTTGTAGAAGCATCTTATCTAGTCACAAAGTGTCAAGAATAGATAAAAAGAACAAAAAAGAAATAGTCGAAGTTCTATATGTAGAAGTAGATATTTATTTCAATTGTATTTCAATGCTTTTGAATTAGTAACTATTAAAATTATTATTTGATGTTATTGATACTATGCCTTATATCAATAGCTTTTGCTGTTGAAGTTAATGTAATGTTACCACTTGATGTAGTGACATCAAATGGATTAAATAATAAAAACCAACTTAAAAAAGATTTTAGTAAATTAAAATCTGGTGGAGTTGTTGGTGTTATGGGAGATGTTTGGTGGGGACTTGTAGAAACATCACCAAAAAGTTATAACTGGAACGGATATAAAGAACTTATTGCTCTTTGTAAAGAAACTGGATTAAAGTTCCAAGCTGTCATGTCATTCCATAAGTGTGGAGGAAATGTTGGTGACTCAGTTAATATTCCAATTCCACAATGGGTAAGAAATGCTGGTTCATCTCATGATGCATTTTTTAAAGATCCACAAGGAAATAAGAATGATGAATATATTGCTTTCTCTGCTGATTCAATGTCTATTTTCCAAGGAAGAACTCCACTTCAAATGTATAAAGATTTTATGTCATCATTTAAATCAACATTTTCTAGTTATATTAATGATGGAACTATTAATGAAATTCAAGTAGGAATGGGACCTTGTGGTGAAACTCGATATCCTTCTTATCCTCTTTCTCGTTGGACTTATTGTGGTGTTGGTGAATTCCAATGTTCTGATAAAAATTCTCTTTCTAAATTGGCATCTGCAGCATCAAGTGCTGGACATTCAGAATGGGGACATGCATCTCCATCAAATGCAGGAAATTATAACTCTAAACCACCATCATCAACTGGGTTCTTTGGAAATGGAAATGATAATTATAAAAGTGCTTATGGTAAGTTCTTCCTTGGATGGTATCAACAACTCCTTCTTGATCATGCTAATAATGTTCTTTCTGCTGCTAAATCAGTTTTTGGTAATTTAGCTATTGCAGGTAAAGTTGCTGGTATTCATTGGTGGTATAATGATCAGTCACATGCAGCTGAATTAACTGCTGGTTATTATAACACAAATAATCAAAATGCATATGCTAATATTGCTAATGTATTTAAAAAGTCTGGAGCTCGATTTGATTTTACATGTCTTGAAATGAGTGGAACTGATGGAAATTGTGGTTCTACACCTGCTAATCTTGTTTCTCAAGCATATAAAGCTGCTGGATCAGCTGGAATTGGAAAATGTGGAGAAAATGCACTTGAATTATGTGGATATGGAGGATGTAATACTAATGGATTTAATCAAATTGTAAAACAAGCTAAGGGTAATGGACTTATTTCATTTACTTATTTAAGAATGACTAGAGCTCTTCTTGATGATTCAACAGCTTGGGGACAATTTTGTTCATTTGTTAAGTCAATGAGATAAATTGTTAGTCATTCATTATTTTTTTTAATTTATTGGTTTTTAATAGTCAATCACTTTTAATCTTTACTATTATTAAACAAATATTTTTTTATTTTGTTATATGAAAAAACAAAATCATGGACTAACTTAGTTTTATTTAAATTATCTTCATCATTACGTTAAAAGATTAAACACTTATTTTTCTGTTTCTGTTAGTCTTCTTTTAGAAAAGAATGAGTTAATTACTGTATTGTGTTTTATTTAAAAAGACAATTTATAATTAAAATCTCCTAAAAGAAAAATAAGACAAGAAAAAATCTTTTAATTTCAGATTTTTATTATCTTTTCATAATAAAAATTTTTAAAAGTTATCAAAAAAGATTTTTTTCATCTCATTTCCATGGCTTCTGAAAACTCACAACAACCTCCTTCTGTTTGGACTGAAGATGAAATTGAACAAAAGATTAATGAAAGAGCAGAAGAATTATTTCAAGCAATGATTAAAGAACAAAATAGGAGAAATAAAAATTATTATCAAAAACCACTTACGTCATATTATTATCACCACGAACAAAAAAAAGAACAAAGGCATAGAGACTGTAATAGTTTTGATGAATCATAAAAACAATTCTTTCATTTTATTATTTATTTCTGTTTGAAATTAAAGACATTTTCTTATTAAATACAAAAAAGAATTGAATAATAAAAAGAAAATTGTTCAATTATTTAATGCCAGTTGTTTCAATTTAAAAATTTCTATAAGTCTATTACTTAAAACAAAAAAAGGAATGATTTATAAAAATTTAAAGTGTTTTCTTTCTTCGTATAATAATAATTCTTAAAAAATATTATTCAATAAAAAACATTTATATTAAAATTCTTTTTCCTCTTTTTCTCTTTGTTTTAAATTGTTCAGTTATTTATTTTATTCTTTATTTCATTTATTATTAGTTTTTGTTTAACCCATTTAGAAATAAAAACATTTTCTTGAATTTATTAAAAAAAAACTTATTTCATTCTGGTGAATATAGAATAAAGATAAATTAGAAGAATTAATCTCTTTAGAGAGTGAGTGACAGGATGTGACCTCTGCTGCAAGAGAAGATATTTCTTTTTTTTTTTGAGACCTAATTTAATTCACTTGTTATTTAAAAAGATTTGATTTATAGTATTTTCAATTTCCTTTTTTGAGGAGAATCAAAGAAAATATTATATGAGAACCTTTAAAGAAGTAACTAGATAAAGGTTAAAAGGATAAATGAGGTGATTTATTAAAACATATTCCAGTTTAATTTAAATGAACAAATCATAAAAAAAAGAATAAAGATTTTATTCTCTTTGAAACTAATAAAAAATAAAAAGAAAGAACATAAATGAATAACAGGAAAAAAATTGATAATTATTCGATGATGATTGTTGGTAAATATTTTAAAACAAAAAATGATTATATTAATTTAATAATGACAAATTCAAGGTTTAAAAGATTTAATGAAATGTATTTATTTAATCCTATTTCTATTTCATCTCTTAATCTTTTTCCTTCCATTAAAACATTATTTCTTTTTAACCAAAATGATGTTAATGAATATTTAATGAAACAAGTAAAGAATATTGTTATTTCTTTTAAAATTAGTTATTCACAATACCTTTATTATAAACGTTTTTATTCATCCATTTCTTTTAAGAATATAAGTTATACTGAAGAAGATTGTTTTAAATTTGGTAAAACATTAAAAGACTCATGTCATTCATTGGAAAATGATAGCCTTGAATATTATAATTCACAAATAATATCTTTTGGTTCTACTCTAAGAAATATTGGCTCTAATTCACTTTCTAAATGTCCTTATTTAAAAGAATTAAATCTTCCAAGTACTATTCTTACACTCAATACACATTGTTTTTCTTGTAATTACCAATTAACTTCAGTTACAATCTCTGCACTTATCAAAGAACTTCCTTCATATTGTTTCTTTAAATGTACTTCACTTCAACAATTATTCTTCTATCCAAAATCAAACTCTTTTGCAATTACCCAATTTAACAATTCTTGTTTTGAACAATGTATTAATTTGAGTATATTAGAAATACCTTCTAGTATTACAAAAATAGGTTCTTGTTGTTTTTTCAATTGTTATTCACTTACTATGTTAAAAATACCTAAAGGTATTGAAATAGACTCTTCGTCATTTACCAATACTAATTGTACTTTTACATATTACTGATTATAGTTTATTTTTATTAAACCAAATAGTATAATTTATCATGTTACAGTCGATTCTGATTATATCTCTAATACAATAATTCTTCATAAATCAAATGAGCAACACTCTAATTAATACTTGTTTTTTTAAACACATTATTAATACCTTTGTTAAACTTATTTATAAAGATTTAATCAATCAATAACTTAATTATTACTAATAAATAAAATTAATAAACGGTTATATTATTAGTGAGTTAGTTTATATGAATACCTTTATTCGAAATAACATTAATAAATTGAATTTATAAAGTAAACATATAATGAAGTTATTAATTTTATTTATTCTTTAATAATTCAGATAAAAACAAAGTTTAAATCAGTAATAATTTATAAGAAAATATTTTTATTCTTATCAAAAAAACCAATTAAAAATACTTGTTTAAATTAGAAATTCAATTTAAAACCAGCTCCAACATAACCACCTTTAGCAGCTGATTTACCTGCATTCACACTAAATTGTGAATTCTTTCCAATATTATAGTTAATTCCTCCACTATACTCTAAACCATTCTTTAATGAATTGCTTACTTGAGCATTAGCAGACCATTTGTCATTAAAGCTATGTTGGACTTCAGCACCATATTTCCAATCTTTACCAAGATTTGACTTTGTATACATTCCATTAACTGAGAGTTGTGTATTAGTTGTTGGTGAGAAATTAATTTTTCCGTTAGCATTCTGAACACCTTTACTAAGGGATAAATCACCAGTAATATCCCACTTACCATTATTACTTTTATAATTTCCTCCAAGTCCAATCATATTATTATTATTTGTTTGGTCTCTTTTAAGTGAGGCATATAAATTACTGTTCTCATTTGGTTTGTAATTTAACTTTGCTTCAAAATCAACGTTTCTTTTTCCATCAATCTTAGTTAGTTTACCTCCTAAACTAGCCCCAAACTTATTATTTGGATTAAATTCAGCACTAATTCCAGCAGAATTAGTCTTTATTCCTTGGTTATCTTTTGTGTGTTTTAAATCTAATGACCCAGTAAATTTATCTGCTTTATAATCTAATTTACTAGAGAGTGTATTACTTCTGCCATCTGGAGTTGACTTAATTGATCCACTACTACTCACTGTTGAATGATCATTGATTTTGTATGTTCCTGTAGCAATTGCTGAACGTGAAACACCATTACTATTCTTAGAACGTTTAGCATCAAGTGACCCATCAAATTTACCATCTTTACTTTTGTAATTAACAGAGCCATGTATTTCGTTACTCTTTTGACCATTAGTGTTAGCCATATTTCCATTAACTTTAGCTGTTAAACCACCATTAGTATAAGTAGCATCACCACTAATAGAATTAACTTTGTTTGTTCCATCATTTTTAGATTGTGCATTTATGTTTGCTTGTAATTTATCTCCATTGTAATTTGCTTTTCCATTTACTTCATAAGATTTTTGACCATTGGTATTAGTAAATTTACCATCAGCAGATAGTGTTGTTTTGTCATTTGGTTTATAAGTAACTGCACCATTAGCACTCGTAGTTTTACCATTAGAATCTTTATTGAAGTTAACACCAGCATTGGCTTGTACTTTATCTCCTTTATATGAAGCATTAGCATTACCCTGAACAGTAGTTTGTCCATTAGTCTTTGAAACCTTACCATCAGCAGAGATTGTGGTCTTATCATTTGGTTTATATGTGACATCACCACTAATAGAATTAACTTTGTTTGTTCCATCATTTTTAGATTGTGCATTTATGTTTGCTTGTAATTTATCTCCATTATAATTTGCTTTTCCATTTACTTCATAAGTTTTCTTTCCATTGGTATTAGTAAATTTACCATCAGCAGATAGTGTTGTTTTGTCATTTGGTTTATAAGTAACTGCACCATTAGCACTCGTAGTTTTACCATTAGAATCTTTATTGAAGTTAACACCAGCATTGGCTTGTACCTTATTGCCATTGTACGAAGCATTAGCATTACCCTGAACAGTAGTTTGTCCATTAGTCTTTGAAACCTTACCATTAGCAGATAATGTTGTTTTATCGTTTGGTTTATATGTAGCACTTGCACTAGCACTTGAAGTAGTAGAACTGCCATCTTTATTAATTCCTGCTTTTGCATTAGCTTGTACTTTTTTACTATTATAAGAGGCATTTACATTGGCGCCGGCTTTATTAACACCATTTTGTTTACCATAATAAGCATTTCCATTAACATTGACACCATTTTTACTGTATTTTCCATCAACAGAGGCACCATAAGTTTTTCCTTGAGGAGAAGTTTGATAACCAGTTTTAGCTGTTGCTGTTACAGGACCTTTGTTATAGTTAATATTACCAGAAACACCAGCAGTGATACCATTTGGAGTTTTTTGTGCACTTACAGAACCAGAGACTTTGGTGTTTGGGCCTAAATTCTTTGAAACGGTAGCAGTCTTCTTACCATTCTTGTCAGTAGTTACTTGAACTGATTGTTTTAATTTAGAGACTACATTTGGTTTTTTTGTAGTGTTTTGAGTTGTTTTTTTTGGTTGTGGCGCTTGTGTGTTCTTATTTTGTTTTACTTTTTGTTTACTTTTTGGTGGATCAACTGATTTAGTAGAAACCTTATTAGCAGGTTTAGGTTTTTGGGTTTTCTTCGAATTTTTTGGAGTAGGGGCATCGTCTAAAAAGTCTGAGTAGTCATTATTAAACGATGAAGCAAAAGAGCCAAGAACAAGAAGGACACATAGAAGGAAGAGAATTCCTTTCATTAAAAATATGATTTTTCAATTCTTTTTTCCATTTTTTTTATTTTTCGTCTTCTTTAAAATTACTTCTTTAAGAAAGAATAAATTTAAGAGAAAAAACTTAATCAGAAAAAATGAAGTTATAAATGAACTTGATCTTTATTTTTGATTTTTTTCCTTGTTTCATATTTTCTTTTTTATATTGCATAATTGTTTTTTCGTTTCTTAATTCAATCATCACTTCTCATTAAAGCGGATTTTTTATTTGTGTATTGATTCTTTCATTAGTATATTTTCTATTCGACAAACAACTATATTGTATTTACAATTTTTTTATTAATAAACATCAATAATGTAAATGTAAAACCTTTTCTATAAACTACATTATTCCATCAACGCACTAATTCATTTTTTATATAACACGATAATACACCTGTTCAATAAAAGTAAATTTAATAAGTTCTGAGCACTTTTGAATCGTTAAGGATGCAAAAATACTAAAACAAATCACATTTGGTTTCAAATCTTTATAAATATTCTGTTTCTAAGTCAATAAAATTATCATAAATTAACGGAAATTGTTTTTATTGTCTAAACTTAACAATACAACAATTAGAAACTATAATTTTAAGAAGTTCTTTATTTATACTTTAAATACATTTTTTAATAAACCAAAATATTTTTAATTAAAATGAGAATTAATGGTAAAACCATTTATATTCATTAAATTAAAAACAAAATAAATTCTTTTCTTGCTAATAGAACACTTACATCATTTATAAATAAGTATATTAGGCAAATCAGTTATACAATAAATTATGTATTTTGAGTATTGTAGTGTTGGGTATTTTTTATGAGATATCTTTGATTTATCCTTCAGTAAATTTTTAGACTAACAAACAATGAACATATCTTTAATAAAATTGTTTAAGTCATTAACCATTCAACTAACTCAGATTTATTTAAAAAAAAAGAAAATACATGAATATGAATTTATCTTTAGAAACAATGGTATTGAATAATTAATTATGAAAAAGTGGTGTTTAAATAAGAGTAACAACCAACATTTTCTTTACAAAAATATTATAAAGGTTCATTTATTTAATTATATAAAACTAAAATAAATTAAAAAGATAAAGATTATAATATTGTCAAAATAAGAAAACAATGAATATTATCTATTTAAATAGTCTTTGGATTATTGGAATAAATAATTAAGAATGATTATTTCAATGAACTCTACATGTTCTAATTCTTCTTTAAAATATTCAATAGAATATTCTTCTTCTAATATATTGTCAGAGCGTAGTAAAGTATAAGAATTTTCATATTTTATTAGGGAGAGTTTGTTTTACTTATTAAAGTCTAATTGCAATTTTAGTAATTGTAGTACTCTTATAATTCTTTGTGTGTTAAACCATTTATGCTAATAGTAAGGAATTATTTTTTCATACATTATCCTCTATTTTGTTTTAATTTCTATTAAATTTAACTATTTGCTAATTTAAATTCACTGCTTACATCATATTTTCTTTTATTTAATTTATTTATTAATTAATTATATTCTTCTTACTAATTGTTTTCTTCATTCTCTTAACTACTCAATTTGGATTGTCTTTTATTACTTCTACAATTCTTTTCTTTTGTTTCTTATTTGCCTAGTTTTTCTTTGTTTATTTTAGTAAGTTTAATTTTGTTATATTAAATTATAATACTCTCTATTATATCTATTACAATTATTGTTAAAGTAATTATAGTAATGAAATTGAGTGGAATAATTCATAACATTATTATAGTAATTATTGTGATAATATTTACTATAATCTTAATGTATTTCTGTTAATATAGATAATATTTATTTTCAATCATTCTTCTATCATTTATATTTCTTGGATGAAATTAACTTCTCTTTCTTATGGTATTGGTTTTTTACTTTTTATATTATTGTAAAAGTGTATTTTTGAAGAGATGTTTAAAGAAAAACACATGAATTAAGGTTAAATTGAATTTTTTTGAATAAGATTTAATAGCTCTTGTTCTATTTGATTAATTGTATCAATAGGAGGTATTTTTTGTAAAGAAATTAAGAAATTAATTTTGTCATAAATAGATTGTATTCCTTGAAAGTTAAAATCTGATGTAACATGAAGTAGTTTAAATAAAAATTTTTGGAATTCCATTAGATCGTTCCATTGTTTAGGAGTTTTTAGTAATGACTTTACCAAATTAATTTTACTACAACAGTTTGGAACTCCTTTTTCTACTCTTTTTTTTGCAAGGGTCAAGTCATTAATAAAATCTTTCATTCTATTATCAATACCAACAGCAAATCTATTCTCTTTAAGAGTGTTAAGACTATGAAGTAATTGAATAGTTATTTCTTTATATTTATCATATTCAATATATCCATTATTATTATAACGTTCAATTTCATCTATTTCTTGATAAATTATATAATACTCTTTCATTAATTCTTCTCTTTTATTTTCTTCAATTGTTTTAACACTAATTTGTCTAATTTGAAATGGAGTGTGTTTAATGGTATTAGTAATGATAGTCGTAGGTAATTGAATTGGTGGTAATTTGAGTTGGATCATAAAAGGAATTTAAGTTAAAATAATAATGAGACTTTTATTTGAGATGGATAATATTATAATAATATTATTTTTTTACTATTTTTATATACTATTATTTTTTTCTTTTCTCTTTTTCGATTTTCAACTTTCGTTGCTAAAATTTAAAAGTTAATTATTTCTTCTTTACATGTCTTATAACCCTCGTTGTTTGCACGTTACTTCCTCTCCTAAACAAACAAAAGAAGTAGTCAAGAAAAATAAAAAACCAAACCAAACAAGAAATGTTAAAGTAAATTTACTAAAAGAATTAACCCAAACATTAGAAAATGGAGTATTTCATTTTTATGACTTTGAGTATGCAGCTCAATTTTCAGAGAAGATTTTCCCTATTGAAATTGGTATATCAAGTTATTCATTAAAGGAGAACAAAGAGATAAATTCATACCATAAATTATTATATCCAGGAAAATTTAAAAATGTATTTGCCAGAACTCAAATGATACATGGGATTGATGCACGTGACCCTCGATTAGAACAAAATTATTCTTTAGTATGTATTGAATTAATAAAATATATTGAACAATTTCCTGGACTTGCATTCTTTGTATCAAAAGAAGAGTCATTAGCAGGAGATAAAAAATGTATTGATGAAATTTTTTTACGTGGAAATGTTCCAATTCCAAAACAAATTCGATTTATTACTCATATTCAATTATTTGATTATTGGTGTTCTATTCAACATATTGAACTTCATGAAAAACCTTCGTTTATATTAAATCATATTTTTAAACAATTAGAATGTGCAGAACGTTGTGAATATCATAAAAAAATTAATCAGAAATATCATTGTGCATTATCAGATGCACGTCATACTTCATTAATGGAATTAATTTGTATGAAAAGTTATGGAGCAACAATTATTGGAAGTGAAACATTACCATCAGTTAGGTTTGTTAAAAGTACATGGACTTTAAAAACAAATATTTTATTTGTTAATGCAACGTCATATCCAGATGGATCACCATTAGAAATAGCATTTACAATGTTTGATTTATCTCAGTTACAAATAATAGATCAACAAGTATTTTATCTTCAACCATTCAACGATAATATTTATTACTCTCCCTCTGGTGAAATAATAAATGATTATTTTGAATCTCATGATCTTACAAATGATTTATGTATCGATAAAATGAATGAATATATTAATTTTATTACAAAAAATAAAGACACAATTGTTGTTTGTCTTGTTGGAAAACTTACTAAACTAATTCCAACATTATTTATTACTCATTTCTTGTCAAGGTCTTTAGTAGAATTTGAGAAAGAGCTATTAGTTAAATTAGCTCAACAACACTTAGTCGTAACTCCAAAAGTACATATCTTTCAAAATGTCTTAAAATCGATTACATTAAAAGAATGTGATTCATGTAAATTACATATGGACACTTCTGAAGTATGTTGTTTACATTCGACTTATGACTTTATTCAAAGTATTCAATATGTAATAAGACATTTCTTTGAAGCTATACAACTTTGTGAGTCTAAAGAAAATATTGAAGAATCTCAAGTTGTAAAAACAAGGTGTGCTGTTATTAAATCAGAAACAAAGATGGTAGAAGACGAAGAAGAAGGTGATACTGATGATTCACAGATTAAAGAAATTCAAAATACTGAAACTGATAAACAACAAGACGAAATTAATGAATTAGAAAAGAAAATTAAGAAAACTAAAAAAGCAAGAAAAACTGTAAAAAGGAATGGACTTAAATCTGACAGTTCAACATATGCCTCATTCCATTTTGAATAACAATAAATCTTATTAAGTTTTAGATTTTTTTGACTTTTATTTTTTTTTAATTTGAAGAAAAACTATATTAAAAACGATTAAAATAATATTTTTTAACTATTATATTTTTATTAAATAAAAAAATAAGAAAGAAAAGAATAGAAAATAAAAAGTAATTAATTAAGTGTTAATAGAAATTTTTTTCATTTGTTCCTTGCTCTGGGGACTAATCCTATCCTTGAGTCGTTTCCTAGCAATTCTAATGAATACTTTTTTGTTGTGGTAGATGCGATATCATGACATCTATTATATATTTTGATACATGTTTTACTCTTTATGAT